GAATAAAAAAGGTTTTTGGCGAGTTCTTGCGAATGAAAGCACCTGTACCGCCAAGACGTCTCTTCTACACAGTTTGATTCCTTGGATATTTGTACCGACAGAGGAGCACATTGACTGGTGCTAATAAGCACGGTATTTCGACCCTTAAGGTGCACAACAGGAAGTGATAGCCTAAATAAATGTTTCATGGTTTATGCATTGACATTAGTAGTCATCGCGAATTTATCTTTGAACACCAGTGAGTGCTTCGATGAAAGTCACTCCAGATGAAGGTGTTCAAGAGCACTCATGGATTCTATCCCTATTAAGGTATGGATGTTGTTCATCGTTCTGGGAAAGTTCTATGCCATCACATCAAATTCTAGATCATCTTCCTATGCAGTCTATTTGGAGCTGGGAGAACAGTTGTAAGATTTTTTAAAAAGGTTTCAATGACAATACTTAATACGTCTGAAACCATCGTTTTTAGTGATAGACTCCTACGGACCTCGCGTGATACTCGAGTGTGATTCACACAAAAGTGGTCCAACTGTGAATTCCATACTTTGTGTAGTGTCTGATACCAACCGAGAATGTGGAAAATTACCTAATAATACTAGTTAGAAATGTTTCTTATTAACACATTGCTCGAATGGCCACAGTTTTCCTCCTCCTCCTCCTCCTCCTGTAAAATAGTAAAATGTACGAAAATATCCTGTATGTGTTACTAAAGTATCTCATCGTTCTCACTACGTTGTGAAATTGTACGCGTGGAATAAATTGGTTTAATATTTATCCATGAGATTTTTGAATTGACGCTTCGTAACACCGCGACAGTGCCGTTTTTTCGACAACTGACGATAATTTGTCGATCAGTTGTAGACCTTCTTCGGGGGTTTGGAAATTTATAGCTTCATAGGGAAGATCTCGCTCTATCGCACCAGTCATTTGCGTAGTTTTGACACGACGTCCTTTCTGGTTTAAACGTGTTCAAAACCAAGATTTTCAAAAGAATTTTGGGCGGGTTTTACAGGTATTAAAATTCGCAATATAAGAACTACTAAAATGAACGATACATTGGGAATCATCATCTTCTGGTAATTGAAATCCCGTTTGTTCGTCTGTTTTCAATTTCGAAATATGAACGTCGAAGCAAAAAAGTGGAAGGGAAAAATGTCGTGGCTCCATGAAAGCAGGATTTTATCGTGTTAGAAAACTTCCGCACTTTAAGCCGACTTTTTTTCATTTTTTTATTTTACATGACCCATCTTCGCGTCTACCGTGCGGATTCCAGCACTTCTTACATTTGATTCGTTCCCTCGCATCCACCATCCGCGAACGTCTTTCTTGTTTTTACGTGTGGCTTCGACTGCTGCTTGCTTTTTACTTCATCTTGAATGTAGAATGCTGGTCGACCAATTCTCTCTGGAGTCCTGGGATAGCCAGGCTGGAGCGTTCAGTTGGATTGCAGAGAGTGAGATTTTTTCCCAGACAAGTCCGGTACCAATTTTCTGACCCCGGAAGGATCACAGGCTTGATTGGCTCGGAGTGCAGTCGAGCTAGCACCATGTTTGTGAAGACGGACATCGCTACCTCTGTGCTTTCTGCCCCCTAAGCCAAGACTTACAAATCTTAATAATCTTCAGGCCAATTAGTAACATTCACTCTGGTTTGGAATACGTTAGTTTGATGTTGAAGATCACATTATTTTCTCATCATACGTAGCATCACATGATTTCTGACCCTGACGTTGGCATACTACTAATGGAATGACTACTGGAATAGCCAGTAAAAATAATGATTAGGAATAGCGAAAACATCATTGGAACATTTATTATTTAAGATAAATTAGCAAGTTACAATGAGTTCAAAGATATATCACATTGATTTGCTGATAATACTTCAGGATGTACTAGTTAGTGTGCAAAGGCATATGGCCCCATGTTAGTTTTACAATCAAGGGCACTTCAAAATTTGGGTTTTCGTTAGAGAGATAAAAATATCGCGTAAAGGAAGGTGAGCAATCAGATGAGAACAGCGTGAGCAATTGTATGAAGGTGTACGCCGTAGTGACCATATACCATGCAAGTGTGTGTGTGTTCACATAGCGGGTACCTTTAGGGCTTCTGGTAATTATGAACGACGACCTCATTATTTGTATAAGATGGAGAATGGGATTAACAGTTCTCAAGGTTTTTCGCAGTGCAATAATAGTCTGGGTTCTTTAAGTTGATGTTTAACCTTGGTAGGGAAAACGACTACCAGCAATATGTTGAACAACGTTCCTGCGAACACATCTGCGAAATGAGTGGGATAGGACATCTTTGGACTAGTACTGATTGGTCAACAAGAACAGCCAAAGAAAAGCTAAAGACGCGTAAAGTAGAATAACAAGCTCTACACCAGCAAACAAGCGAGTTGGTTGCAACTGTACTCGCAACTCATCTAGTGCAAGATCAACGATAGAAGGATCCAACGCACTGCTGGTAGCATGATAACCTTCTGGGTCTAAAACAATTGATCTACGATTGCGACAGAAAGGAAAAGTAATGCAGATAACGACAAAACCAACCAAGCCATTCCTCGTTCAGGATGTCGTCAAAATGACTATCCCCAAAAAGGCAGTCAGGAAAAGTGTTGTCAATACTCACCAACACACTTGAAGTAAAAACCCGTCGGAAAATAGAGGAAGTATCACAGGAGGAGTTCGCACTTCTCCCTGAACATCTTCGTAGGAAATAGGGTGCACGGGAAATAAAGAGGCACACACAGATTGGCGCAATTTCGACAACAAATTGGCAATACCTATGGATTGTCTCTGCGAACTCCCCCTCGTTGGCCCCCCGACTGCTGTTGAGTTGGGTAGCGGACAACACGAGGCTGGAATCCGTCACTGCCCCTAGAAGGACCACCTTGCCGCTTCCCACCTCCTTGTCTCAGTGCTTGTCGATCACGATCAACTTCGACATCTTCCAGACGCTAAATAGATTAGTAATGGAATGACAATATTTTTCTTAAATGATACAGTTATTCACTTCTTCTTTTAAAACAACCAACAACTAATAAAGGATAAAGCTTTCGGCGTGGATCAATCCGTAAGGGATACACCGTGCATTCGATTTCACTAAGCATCGTTGGAGGTGACTGAATGCATATCTGTGCTTTACAATGACCCACGGTGGCCTACCGCTGTGTCGAGTCAGTGCTGCTATCCTCTCAGAAAGTCTGGTAGCAATTTTTCGACCCCTAAAGGATGGAGAGCTTGGTGGGCTAGGAGAAAGTGGACCGATCTCATGTGTACAGCAGGACGCCTCCGACTACTGCGCAATACGCGCCGCTAAGCAACAAATAATGATGAAACAAATAGTTTCTTCACAGAATCTGTTCATATTTTCTTCATTCCCTTTTTATCCGTAATAACCAAATGGTCTGTGAAAACAACTAGTATACGAAAAGGCCACTGAAACACAATTTCGCTCCTTCCAGTAACAGCACAAATACGGAGCAGAAATAAACATCAAGAAGCAATGGAGGTAGTAGAAAGATTCTTGTTATAAAATCTTCAGTACTTTGAGTTCTCACAATTTCGCGTAGCTGCCGCTTTAATAGAGTGCTAATTTTTTTGCCGTTTACGTAGTGAATTGAAATCAGCTCACACTGCCTAATCTAACCATGCGTATAAGGGGAATCCTAGTCATGCCAGATTTTTGGTGTTACAAACCTTCAGGGATCTCTCTATTCCTTAACAAGCTTCGGGGTAGTTAATTGAATCGTAACAGTATATCTGCTGTAATATGCTAATTCATCCAGTTTTTGAAATACATCTGCTACACAGATTGTCTTCCACACTTCATATATGTGTAGTTATATTCACGGAAGGACTGTGCTTGTATGTATGCCGATTACATCCTGCAATTCGATTTAGCCAAAAAAGTGCACTTAAGGACAACGAAGTAGACAAGAGGCTGTTAAAGATGGCCTTCAAAAATTTAGCGACACGTGTAGCTCTGCCATGCTAAGCAAACCAATTTACTGTCCTTTATGTCATATCTCGGCTAGCATCCGGTGAGCACCTGTTGCAAAACAGCAAAAACAGAGGGCATTTATTGAATAGTGTCACATCCTCTGTTTTCCTTGGACCGAGAGTGATCTAACGGTCAGCTCTAAGGTACAATGGAAACGTATGGATTCTCATTAATTCGTCGCTCGAGACAACAACGATGTGGATTTAAAAAATTAAAGACTTCCATAAAAAACACAATACAATACAACGCTAGCTGATGTTTCGGCAGTATCGCCTTCTTCAGAGTCTGGAAGGGTATACTGATATACGATCTACTAAGCCAAACGCTTCAATAACACTTACACAAAGACGAAAGACTCTTTGGTAACTCCACGATCAACAACTTCTCGAAAAACCCACCGCTTTTTTGTGACCTCCAATGAGGAAGTTTAGAACAGCTGATTATAGTCGCATGTGGTTGACGACTGCACCATCCCACATCAAAAATCGATGCGAACGTACGGGATCAGGTCGCGTATGACCTCCGGGCATTCGTCCCTGCTATTCATTGTAGGGTTTTTGGCATTGATCCAAAAAGCCTCAAGGAGTTTTCGCGCTGGTGTTTTGGACTCCTGTGCAAGGATATTGACTTTTACTTCAAAATCGTCTCCGCTATGCTTTTGTATCCTATGCGTGCCTAGTGGGGTGCTTCGTCTTAGTTTTCGTTTGCCATCTAGGTGTTCTTTTATGCGGATACATAACGGTCTGCCCGTTTCGCCAATATATTCATCTCAGCAATTATTACAAGAGATCAGGTATATCGTACCTGAACTCATGCAATCACCGTCCCTGCCGTAAGGGCAAATTACGCAATTTGTTGTTTCACACAGACGGTCATACAGGCGGTTGCGAACTAATTGGCGACGTAGAGTAGCCGGTGGTATTTCAACTATCGCTACCGATTCCTCTAGACTTGCGCTTCTTAAGCATCGTTTTATAGCTACGCTTACTTCATCGCTTATAAAAAACGGCAACATAAACGGGACTTTTTTTTTGGCNCCCCGTCCCTGCCGTAAGGGCAAATTACGCAATTTGTTGTTTCACACAGACGGTCATACAGGCGGTTGCGAACTAATTGGCGACGTAGAGTAGCCGGTGGTATTTCAACTATCGCTACCGATTCCTCTAGACTTGCGCTTCTTAAGCATCGTTTTATAGCTACGCTTACTTCATCGCTTATAAAAAACGGCAACATAAACGGGACTTTTTTTTGGCCAAGTGTTTCGCGTGGGCGCGTCGTTCTCCTTCTAAGCTTATCTCATGGGGTTACTATTTCGTAGCCATTGGAGATGGCTATTTGCCGAGCCAAGTCACGCGATTCTTCCTTTAGTTCCCTGGTAGTGCACACAGAAGTGGCTGTTCGAAACATGTTTCTCACAATCGCCCTCTTTGTGTGTGAAGGGTGGGAAGAAAGGAAATGAACAAGGATGTTCTTGTTACTTGGCTTTCGATACCACTTTGTCAGGTAACCGCTACTTGATAGGTTTATTTGGACGTCCAAAAACGGAAACCAGTTTTCTCTCGGTTTCACCTCCCCCCAACCCCACTAGGCACACATAGGATACAGAAGCATAGCGGAGACGATTTTGAAGTAAAAGTCAATATCCTTGCACAGGAGTCCAAAACACCAGCGCGAAAACTCGAGGCTTTTTGGATCAATGCCAAAAACCCTACAATGAATAGCAGGGACGAATGCCCGGAGGTCATACGCGACCTGATCCCGTATGTTCGCATCGATTTTTGATGTGGGATGGTGCAGTCGTCAACCACATGCGACTATAATCAGCTGTTCTAAACTTCCTCATTGGAAGTCACGAAAAAAGCGGTGAGTTTTTTCGAGAAGTTGTTGATCATGTAATTACCAAAGAGTCTTTCGTCTTTGTGTAAGTGTTATTGAAGCGTTTGGCCTAGTAGATTGTATATCAGTATACCCTTCCAGACTCTGAAGAAGGCGATACTGCCGAAACGTCAGCTAGCGTTGTATTGTATTGTTTTTTTTTTATGGAAGTAAACGTATGCTGTTTAAAAACCTCGCGATTGCTGAACAAGAAAACGACACATTCATATTCCAGTGCCGAGGTTAAGAGAAAGTCGATCCTGGGAACTAAAGATTTCGTTTGTTCAATTTTTTTTTCATGGAACAAAATTATGACAAACGCATTGAGAGTCCTCGTATTGGCATATAAGCCGACACTCACCTGAGTAAGCGTAAGTTTTTGTTGTATGGCAAGACGAAGCAACTGGTTGAGAGTCTTCTTTTCCTCTTCGCTGTTTCGTTGGTCAGCTTCCAATTCCTCTACCTTTGTGAATCGTATGTAACAAAATGGACTTAATGCACAAAAATATCGCTAAAAAACAAGTATAGACAATCTCACCTGTGCCTGCAGCTCTTCACATCGCGCAGTGAACATGGCACGATGGCTTGCAAATGTAGCAGCATCCTCTTTGAGTTGTTTAAGTTCGCGTCGCATGCGTTCACTATTTTCCTGAAAAGAAAACGGAAAAAACAGTAAACTTACATGAGTTCGATTAAATCTATACGAAATAATAAAATACACGAACTTGATGAGCCTTCTTATCGGCTTCATACTTGTCTCTAAGTGAAGCTAAAGCTGACTCTGCTGTTAACTTGTTGGACTTCAGGACAGTTCGCAAGGTTGAGATCTGGTCTCTGATTTGACAATATATATGCATAATATATAATTGAGAATTGTAATTATAATTGTTTGTTTGTTTGTAATTGTAATTCTAATTGTTTGTAATTTTTTAGAACAGAAGCAGGAGAGGACAGTTCAGGATTTAACCAGAACTACAAACAAACTTTGGGAACAACTAACCGTTTAGTGCTCAATAGAGAACGAAGTTTCATGTTCTGCATGAGAATATCGTCTGTTTCAGCACCTCCTGCCGATACAGCCTGATTTAAGGCTTGTTCTGCAGTCCTCTTAACAGCTGTTAATAGCTTTTTCATGCTCTCACTTGTCTGAGATAAAGCGCTTCCATCTGCAAAGTATAAGTGTAAAAACACCTGCATATCTTAAACTGCACGTTAAATAAACTCTAAGCTTCAATCTGTTTACAAAATAAATATTCACTGAAAATTACCAGTGAGAATACGTTGTCGAAGATCACTTTCACTGACAGCGTCAACAATTTTGCAACTTAAGAGGCGTTTATCAATTTCTCGAATGAAAGATGGAGCAAGAACCTAGGCAGATTTATCAAACCATAGTAAGGTAATGACGAGGTGGAATGATATTTACCGCTCTATCAGAGTTCAATGGGATCGCTTTAGCGCCACTGTTATCCGTTTCGGTTCCACTTTCAACACCTTCATCAATAAGTGAGACTTTTGGCAAATCTTCCGCGTTTTCACGTGCTAGTTGACGAAGTTTATTCACAATCTAGAAACATAACAACTAACTTGTACGGTAGAGTAATATTCGGATTATATGTTTGCACAATACGCTTAAGAAAAACACCTCAATAACCGATTTCTCGGTAGTCAACCCGTGATTCTGAACGATTTGAGAGTAGAACTGGAACAGTTGGTCTGATACTTGAATCATCGCATCCTGAAGTGGGCTTGGTATATCGTAAGATGATTTACACACAGCGTTTTCCAGTCAACAGAAGTGTATCCAAACGTCGACGAATGTATTAATCCGAATGATGTTAGATACCTGTGCTGCTGCCAGCTGCGCAGCCTTCTCCCCCGCAAAGAGCAGAAGAGTGCGAATATCTGCACGTTGGTCGTGATCCCTTCTATCAGCAATGGAGTCGAAATTTTCTCCTTTTAGCAAATGATCTAACCTGTCCAGAACCAAGTCCTTTTGCTGACGGACATGCCGAAAATCCATCTCTAAATGTAAGCGATTGGAATCAGCCGAAAACAATAAAACAGTTTAAAAATTAACCTCCAGAATAGTTCATGTTCAGTTTAGACATTATACTGGAAATCACTTCCACTGCAGTCTTTTCTCTATCCTTAACTTCCTCATGCAAACTATCGCGTGTAGCTTCAAGTTCACGAAACTAAACTTGCGGTGCAGTGAAAACAAAACACCTTTTTGATCGAGAAAATCATTATAGAACCACACAGAACTGGAAGCGAACCGGCAGAAGTACAAGTAACAGACCTTCTCATCAGTGCTACCTTTCAACTCACTGAAAAGGTCATTTGACGGTTGGTAGGCTACCGGATCCTGAAATTTATCAGTTGAACAAAATAGTAAATAACCTTGCGTAGAGTAGCATGTAGTTTACATGAACTTCAAGATAGAGTCCGCAAAAAAGCTAGAGATGAAGCAGAAAATAGGTGCGAACAACACCAAGTGGGAGCTCTACCAATAGCACCATTTCTTCAGCCATTGCTTAGACAACAACAGCCCAATAATGAAGTTGATATTCGGATGTTTACGAATGAAACTCTCAAGGTCCTTAATCACTATCGCGCGAAAAGATACTGTTCCAACCTCACTGATGTGCAAAAACGTGATATGCGCGAGGTACGAGAGCTGATAAGGCTGAAAAGCATAACATTATCCGTTAGTGATAAGGGCGGAGAGCTTGTAGTAACCCGCCATCAGTTAGATGTTGAGATAAAGAAAAAGCATCTTGAAGATGCTTCACTTTATCGCCCATCATCTGAGAAAGAAGAAAAAAAGCTCTCGGCGTTCATCAATACACTCGGGATGCGCCAAGCATTCGACTTCATTAAATATCGATGGAGGTGATTAAATGCATATCTGGCCTTTACAATGACTCGCGGTGGCCTACCGATGTATCGAGCCAGTGCTGCTATCCTCCCAGACAAGTCTAGTACCAATTCGCCAACCCCGAAGGGATGGAAGGCTAGCACTTCCGCGAGCTCCTTATACAACACGAAGGAGCAATATGGCTTCTCGATTCAGCAGTTCATGACACTCTCAAAGGACTGTATAAACTGCTCAATCTTCAGATGGTCCGGAAAGCACTACTCTCAAATGAGAGAGCTGGCAATGAGACAGCGACTGGCTCCAAGCCTTACCATTGCATTTATGTCTAAGGTGGAAGCACCGGTGACTGATCTCGGGACGCTACTCTACTGTAGGTATGTAGACGACTGTTTTGTCCTTTGCTCAACACGAGAGGAAATGGACAAATGTTTCGAGTTGTTAAATGCACAGTAAAAGTATATCAAGTTCATCCGAGAAAAGCCGAAAGAAAAATGGCTTCCATTCCTGAACGTACAAATTCACCTATCAGAAAATGGTTACATTACAAAGTGGTACCGAAAGCCAAGTAGTAAAAACATCCTGGTTCGTTGCCACTCCTCTCACCCCTCTCACACGAAAAGGGCGCTTGTGAGAAACATGTATCGAACAGCTACCAACGTGTGCACAGGAGGACAGCAGAGAGAGGAGTCCTGGAACTTGGCGCGGTAAATAGCCAATTTTAATGGCTACGAAACTGTAGCTCGAATAGGTGTAGAGGAAATCCCAAGCCCCAAGCGATAACTCGAAAGGCAATAAGATCCCGTTTATCTTACTCGGTGGTTGCATGAATTCGGGTACAGTTTATCTGATCTCTTGTAAAGCTTGCAGCAATGAATACATTGGCGAAACGGGTAGACCACTTCGCGTTCGCATAAAAGAACACCCAGTCGGTAAAGTTAAAGTTAAACCAAGTTCTATACTAGGCAAGTATAGGACACAGAGATACAAAGAGAAAGATTTCGAAGTAGAAATTACGATCCTCACACAGATATCGAAAACGCAAGCGCGCGAAATTCCCGAGGCATTTGAGATTAATTACAAGGATCCAGAAATGAACCGCAATGAGGAATGCCTCATAATCACGCGTGATGTCGGGCAGTATTCAATGCAGTGGTTTTGATGTGAGAGGCACGTTATGTTTTCATGTAAACTCTGTGCAGTTGGTCTCCACGTAATATATTTAGTGGAAGACACAGAAATCGGTGAGCGTGAGAAGAAGATATTCTGTGTCCAATGTAATGAAGATCTTAGTTAAGACCTCGTGTAGACCTCGTTAAGACCTTATTGAAGAAAAACATAGAATTATCAATCAATGCCGAGGTTAGCAGAAAGTCGGTCTAGGGGATAACTCTAGCGACAATAAGATCCCGTTTATGCTGCCCTTCATTTCAAATAAAGTAAATGCAGGTATAAATCGCTGTTTAAGAAGGGCTAGAAAATTCGGCAACGATAATTGAAATGCCACCGAGTAATCTAAGACGCCAGCTAGTTCGTAACCGCCTATACGACCGTCTATGTAGAACGCAAAATTAACGCGTGATATTGGGCAGTGTATAACCCTGTTATTCTGATGGGACGGGTACAATACGATTCCATCTGAACTCTTTACGGTTGATCTCCAAGTGATATATTTAGTGGAAGACTCATAGAAAGCGGTAAGTGTGCAAAGAGCTGTTCTGTGTGTAATGTGAGTGAAATTTTGGTTAAGCATTTTATTATGGAGGTGTTTGGCTGGGTAGATTAAGGTCAACTTGACCTTTTCAGGCTCTAAGGAAGGTGAAATCCGGCGAAACGTCAGCACGTGCGCAAATAAAGAAGTAAAATAACACTTCGCGTTTGCTAAACAGAAATATAAAAAATAACAGATGTGTCTCAAGAACGACTCACCTCTCCTAACCTTTCAAGTCCTATAAGCATATCAGTTAAACTGCTTAAATGTTCAGCGTTTCTTACACTATCTAGCTCCTTCTTCATCGCCAAACGTTGCTCTCGTTCTTGTTGGGCGGCCAGTAGAGCTTCTTCTACCTAGGCTGATTGAAAGATTCAATCCTTCCTCTCAATGTACCTTGTTCCTCCATTTTCTGTCATATTTTTATCGAGAAATGTCGTGCAAAAACAAGATGCGGTTTTTATTCGAGGATATGGCACAGAGTTCTAGTTTCCCTTTGTGCTAAATCATGTAGGCTCCCATACGTCGTCATAACAGTTCATGGTTTTCTTTTGACAAAAAAGTAAACCAAGTAACATTTAGAATTAGACGTGTGAATTGATTTCCATTCGCATAAAGGCTGAGGCAGAGTGGACAATGTGAGTCAACTTCTGCTCATTTTCTTTCCGGCGTTTATTTTGCCGCATAGAATATTTTGCTATGTTCTTTATAACCAATCAGTAGTTCCTTCAGCAAAGAATTTTGTACAAAGCATTGAGCAAGAATAGTTATTCATTACTTGTTAAAATCCATAAGAACAGTTTAATGTCTCGGTATGTTTAACCGACGGCGAGAACAATGCTAATGAGAAAGCTATTATCTCCTACAACAGAGGTTGCTCGTAAGATATTTCGATGCAAGTGCACAAAGCTCACGCACCAATGTGCTACCGCATAACACAGTCCTTGAGGGAAGTATACGCTCTTCATACAAATATGGTAGACATAGCAGACATACAAAACTCCAAAGCATATTTAACGTGTGTTCCATTCGACTCGTCGTACCGCATTAGTCATTCTTGAAGGTCTTCGAATTTGCGAGTCCGGCTAAAACTGCAGAGCTTCAAGAACGTCATGAAATGTTGGCTGACTTGATTCATCCTGGAATCCAGGGATAACATCAATAGAACGTTTTCATATCTTGACCACAGGTAGTCGCGAATTTTGTGGACCGCAGAAAACTTTTACTGTATAGGTATGATACCAATTTGCAGGGGAAGTCGTTCGATCTGCCATCATGAGTGTATTTCACAGCATCGCTAACCACTGCGGTTTCCGCGGTCAAAAACGACATGTATAGCATAAAGAACAGAAATTAGCAACAAAATAGACAGGAAACGAGATCACGAAGCCTAAGGTGGCAAAGTGGCCGTCATGAGTTGTGTTAAAATTATTGCGCATGACATAAAATCTATCAAGCACTGGGCCATAAACATTAAAAACAAATTGTTATCAACCACTGAAAAACACCGAACAATGGTTGACTTTAACTGACGGGAAATCTATTCACGTCTGATTGTAAGTGTCAACTCGTTTACTTTTTTGTCAAAAAAGTACCCGAAAAATTATGAAGATGTAGCGGAGACTATGTGATGTAACAAAAAGCGAAACCACAGCTCTCTGCTATGTCCTTAGATAAAAATCACACCTAATTTCTTCACGGAGGCGTTTCTCGGCAAAGATGTGACAAAAAATAGAGGACTAAGATGTACAATGTAACCATAACTAGAAATCAAAAACAGTTATTAGTGAAAACAGTGAAAGTGTACCTGCCTCTCCGCAATGGTTTTCAACAACTGGCTCTCCTCCATGGCTGCATTCAACATGTATATTTCATCAGCATATCTAGTGCAGTCGATTTTGAGTGACTCGAATTCAACTTGAGCACCACGAAGATTTGCAACCTAATTGAAATCCTGGTCTTTAGATAAGACGTTAGATGGAAATTCAACTGGAAGGTATATGCATCTGAAGAGAAGAATAAACGAACTGCACTACGCACTAGAAGGCTGAACAAACCGTCTTCTGTAGAGTGATATTCTCCTCCTCGAGTTCCGTGTATTCGCCCATAAGTCTCTGTTCCCTCTCTTTCGTTTCCTTCAATTCAGCCTGGAACATAAAGCATATTCATAGGATACCAGTAGCTAGTTCAAGACATAAATTTGTACGAATAGTTATCTGCTTCCTCACAACGGTTTACCGCCTCATCGTGGCTTGGAGGCGCTCGTCGATGTCAGGCTGCGATGTACAGCGTGGCGGGGAAGTTCGTCCCTCCGGCAGGGTCTCCCAAACTGAGAAGGAGTCCGACGTTTCCATCACGAAGCCCAGCTAAGAGTAAACCAATGCCAGGTTCCATTATCGTCCTGGTACCAAACTAGTCGCAGGGTGGCAAACCTCCCTCTGACCCACAAGAGCGGCGACTGCCGGTGGTGGTGACGAGCTAAGGCAGACTTTGGCCTGGTTGACCTAGGGACCTCAGCGAAACACGATGGCTAAACCAGCAAAACTTCGAAAAACAGAGATGATACTGTGGCCCGCACAACCAACGAGGACGAGCCGTCCACGTATCCAAGTAAGTTATATACCCATGGATTGACGCACCTTGATTTTATTTGTTTTCAATAATCACCACCTATCACAAGTAACCTATCTCAAATCTATTAACAGGAAATTTTTCCTAACCGAGCCAAAAATAGACAACAATACATATTTGGCAAAGTATAAAACATGTAAGAGTCACAATTGATAATACTTATTACTTTATGAAGATTATTCTAACCGAATCGGCAAAACAATGAACATTTAAGTAAACCAGCCTTCAACCTTCTCCTCTCCTCCTCCAGTGCTGCTCCAGTATCAGCAGCGGAGCTATTTTCTATCTTAAGTCGCTCTAGTTCACTTCGACACCGTTCGAGTTCCTAAACTTGCTCACATGTGAGGGAAGAAATCGATAGATCATGGAATAAAGTGATAAAGAATATTTCCATCATTTATATCAACACAACTGGTCCACGCATGATTCCGTTCATAATTCAATAATACCTGTTCTGCATTTCTGAGATTCGTCTCCAGAACAACGATCCGCTCGGTGAGGAGATTCTCTTTGGCTGAACTTTCTTCCAACAGTGTTCTCTCGTTTTCGAGTTCACTTCGATGCGCCGCCTTATGTTGCGAACGGAATTCGGCCAACATCTAAACAAACAAACTGCTTATTTTCAACCTACTTGTCGTACAGAGCCTATGAACTTCTTTTATTCATTCTCTTTCAATTTCACAGTAAGTCAAACTGACCAAAAATGAAGTTTTTTCATAGTTCCTTTCCTACTTTATGCTAGCATTTACCACTTCCGTTCGTTTGTCACGTACGTTATATGGCAGTGATAGTTATTGTTGGGAGCAGGTAGGGCAATGGTAGTGAGTGATCCAGTTCATTATGCGGACGGCCAACCCACCCACACGGTGGTTCCAACCCACTCCAAGTCCAGCATGAGCTTCCTCCCTGCAGGGTTTGCTACCAAATTTTCATAGAATAGTCCACTATCTCTAATTGACATGGGATTACTAGCTATATCTATTTCTTAGCACTGCTACCCTACGATTCCTAAAAGGGTCGGATCAACGCGAACTCAACAACATCTGTGACGGAGACGCAAACATTCTCAAGCAAGAATAGAACGCACATGCAAAAAGTTCAGAGACATTCGTAAATGGCGGATGCGAGGAAACGAACCGAATGCAAAGAAGTGCTGGCTCCCCACAATGTGATATGTGGTGTCAAGTCATGGGAAAATTTAACCAGGATGATACGAACCGAAATAGAACTTCGAGGACTGCAGCAATCAAAACGAAAACAAAAGTTCTACCAAGGAATGCAAATTAAAAATGGCCTAAAAAAGAACTACACTACTTAGTACCAAGAGAGTATCTTGGTGAAGCGATGCATTTGGAAAGCGATTGTAGGGAATATGTAGCCATCAGACAGATTACTCAACTATCCATGCTGACAACCCAGAAACACTCTGGCAAAAGTATTTCGGGAGACGAAGAAAGAAATTGTCCACAGGGCGGACACCTATAAAAGCCGTTGAGAAAATCACGAAAATTCGAAATCGGTATTGCAAAATTGGTCTTCATTAATGCACTCTGCTAGATGCCGCTTTTCCAAACGACTGGATAGTCGAGATACGAGAAAATGCAACATGAATTGGGGTTGAACCATGAAGGAAATCAAGATATGCGTTCGGTAGAGTGTTGTCAACAGTGTTGCTTAACAAATATGGGATATCGACCACTTCCAACAACACGAATTCATAGTGGGAAAGCTCCACTTCTGTTAGTTTTGCTCCAAAATACTTGTAGCAACTCCAAAAATCATCATTGCGGCGAATTCACCACTGATTCGTGATAAACTTTGCACCCAACTACCACAACTTAATCAGATTTTTGTAGAACAGTTCAAATGATATAAAACTCATTATTTATTTACAAGCCTGAATAAATCATTTTGCTTCACTCTTTGCTCAGAGGGTGCTTGCTAATGATACGTGTAGTGCAGTGGTTAGAGCTGCGCTGCAACGTCTACTAGATCGCTCACTGGTTCAACCCGACGCGCCCCGCCCACCAGGTCCTCCATCCCTCCGGGGATGGCGGACTGGTACCAGATTTGTCAGAAAGGATAGCAGCACTGAGTTGATGCATTAACAGGTCATCGCAAGCGTAGGGCAGATAGACTAATGCATAGGCCCGATATGCATTCAGTTATTTCCATGATGCTTGATGAAGTCGGACGTAGGGTGCATCCTCAGAATTTAACTAGCGCTAAATGTTTTGTCCTTTATTATTGGCTTTGAAATCACAAAAGTTGTGTGAGTGAAGGACTAAGGAATCACTGAAAAAATGGCGGAAGGACATTTATCCACTGCATATCTACTCCACTATTTAATTGCTTTTGAAATTTCCTCTGTGAACTATAATAAAAACAGTGTAAAATAAAGATGGCCCAAACTTTTGCATCAGATTAACACTCCTAAAGTTCGACAGTGTTAACGTGACAAAGTGTGGCGCAGTGGTTGGAGGCGCCCTGCAACACATACGCTGAATTGATCCCCGCGCCCATGGCCCCACCAAGCCTTCGATCCCTCCAGGGTCGGCAAATTGGTACCAGACTTGGTTGGACGGATAGCAGCACTGGCTTGATGCATCGGTATGCCAGCGCGAGCCATCGTAAAGGGCGGATAAGCATTCAATGACCTCCAAACGATGCTTAATGAAGTCGAATGCATGGCAAATCCCTCACGGATTGATCGACGCCGAGAGCTTTATCCTTTTATTATTAACGTGAAACGCTAAGGATAAAAAGGGTAAAGCTCTTGGCGTTGATGAATCCCATAGTAATGGCGCCATGCATCCGACTTCACCAAGAATGGTTAGAGGTGACTGAACGCATAAGTGGCCTTACACATTGACTCGCGAGTGGTCTATATCGAGTCAGCACTGGTATTCCCTCAGACAAGTCTGGCATCAACTTTCCAACCTTGGATGAAAACCTTGGTGAGCCTGGGGAGAGGGATCGAATTCACGTGTGTTGCTGGCTACCCCTAACCACTGCCCAACATGCGCTCTTGATAAGAGTGCAAACAAATCGAAAGACGGTATACTTCAAAAGGAACGATATTCACGTAATTGGAAAATTTTTCAATGCTGGAGAGCACTTCTGAAGCCAAATTACAAATTAAACACATAGGTCGCCGTAGTCATTTAGATGACACAGTATTTCCTGTCAGTTTCATGCTATGTGGGATTTGGCTTGCTATATCGCCCTCTAATTGGTTGCTTGACGAATCATAAGAAGCGCTGTAGTCTACGTACGGAGTCGCCAAGTAGCAAATTCCCCACCCTTCCATGCAGAGAGCCCAGTAAGCTACTGTGGTGACTACATCAGAAGCGTTATCACGACACAACATTCAACATATCAGATCACATACTAACTTGAGAAATACGCATGAAAAACAACGAAAAAAGGGAGAAGAGTTGAAATCGGCACTAGATGTTAAAATGATTCGTCTAAATTACCTGTGTCAATGTGGTGCAGCTCAGACGGACGACAATTTTAAAAAATTGATTTCTGCACTGCTCAGAGCGCTCCCAGTGTTCTCCTCTTACTACAACTCCAAGTGGATAAAGGACTAAACGCAGAGCAATATGGAAATCGTCCTTGCATTGAGAAGCAGGTGAATACCAGTGACGGAAACATTATGTTGTGCCCTGTTTGGTATATGTGGTACTGTTTCATTCCCGCACCTGACCCACCAAGCCTGTCATTCAGCGAGGTGGGGGAAATTGGTACCAGAATTGTCTGAGAAATATTCACTCTCAGCAGCCTAAGTGGAAAAACTCAAGTCCGGGTCACGAATTCAGGGAGAATCGACTCCACCAGAATCCAACGACAGTCATGACGAAAGGAAAATCCTCAAGCAGCAGCCGCAACCACACGTAAGAATTGGAAAACCTCACTGGATGATGTATTAGAGGAAACTAACTGAATGTGATAAACGTTGAAATCCGCACAGTAGAAGCAAAAGGTAAGTTATACTAAAAAAAAACTTAAGTTCAAATGCATGGACGTGTGCATGCAGTTGCACATATGCGAATTGTATCGTGGATGTCAATCGGAACAAAACTATATGTTCAAGAAAATAGGAAGTACAATGTAGGTTTTTAGCCTATTCCGCAAAAAATGTAGCATGTGTAGCGCAGTGATCGGAGGCGCCCTGTAATACACATAGGATCGCTCTCCGCGCCACAAGGGTCGGTAGATTACCAGACTTGTCTGATGCGAGCCAAGAAAATTATGTGCGATGGCACCGAACTCGCCGAAAAACGCCACCGAAACAAAACCCGTTGGTGACATAGGAGAACTCCGATCACGTGGAGTTGACTTCTCTGATGTCCTATGTCAACAAATTTGGGATATCGCATAATTTTACAGCAAAAAGGCTGGAATCTAATCTTTACGGTTGAAAAGATGTTGACTAATGTTGGCTCAAGATTTCGAAAATAACACTCAGACATTAAGCTATTACAGAGACAGAGTCCATGCATGGACTTGGAAAATTTCTCCAGGGAACATTTTACAATGTCGCTATTGACGGCTTGCGTGTGAACCATGTCCCCAAGAGGATAGAAGTACACCACGCCCCCGCGAAATGGAAATGAATCAACAAGGAGACAGATAACTTAAGATAACCATAAATACCAAAGGTAGGTCGCAATCACAGAGGATTCTTTTGAAGGATGAACATGGGAATCTCCCATCGGAAGTTTTGCCCAGCCGATTTTGTTGAAAAAAAAGAGAAGGGTGTGGAGGAACCAAAATCTTTCAGTTCCTAGAGAACCTGCTACCAACCCTCATCAATGCAGTGGCCCACCTTTTTCTAGAAGTACTTGCTGTATCGCTTAGCTCCAAATCAATGGTAAAGCAGTGAGATAGTGCTGTTGCACAAAAAGTGAAACATAAAAAATCGGAAAACTAACAAATTCAAATAAATGGTAGCCATATATCATATTCCATTTCCAACAATACCTGATTAGCTTGGTCCACTTCGATTTTAGCCGCATCGAACTGCGTTTGGAGCTGAGCCAGTTTCAATTCCAGAGCCTCTTTTTCCTGCAGAATACTGAGCCCAACCTCTGCCGCCTAAACGTTTAAAATACGGTAACTACCGGAAGTCAATGCAGGAAGTGTGAAACCAAAAGTCTGAATTTAGCAGAACACTGACAACAAATTCACTGAAATATAGTTTTATACGACTTATACATGGGTAAAAACTACTTTCAATTTCAGCTTTGAACGAATCTCATCTTACAGCGAATTTCATTAGCTGAATTAAAATCGATTAGAAGTTATATGCACTTGCCAACAAGACACAAGTTTACTTAATCAGTCATGATGAAGCCGCAATTCTCTGGACCACAGCGATTATCATCTATCGTTTCTTTCTCAATTTCTGGAACCTCGATTAGGAAGGATACAGAATAAGCGAAACCTCATCCATTGGGACAAACTGGTGGTCCCGAATGTCTTTAGTGTGCGTGGCTACTACACTTGTATAAGAAATTTTAGTTTGCTTATTTTACCGACGTGTCTTAAAAGCCTTCGGAGTTAAAATGATCCCTGCAAATCCTGTATTCTCTAAGCAACCTAGCTATCGAAAAAGTTGCCCGTTTAAGAAAGATACAACAATAATCTCTCCTTCGTTCCCTCTATTCTATTCCTATCTGAGCTAGTTGACTCACATTGTTGAAAGTATTGCGTAATTAAAGGAGTTAAGGGTTAGAATGTCTAGATGGACTATATATGTATATATATATATATGTATATGAATATGTATATGTGTACATATATAATATATAACATACAAATACATATACATATGTATATACATATATATATATATATATATATATATACATAAATTCGTACGATGCTGCTCAAACAGCTGAAAACACCCAAAGCGAAACGTTTGATGAGCATAAGCACCTTATGTTTATCGGCGATCGCTTCCTGGAGTGCGGCCTCCAGTCGAATAACTTCTTCCCGCACATAATCCGCATCACCCATGCCCCTGAAAGAGGCCGAATATTTGAAAGCACTCGGATACCTTTCACAATATGAAGACAAACATTCTTATATGTGAAAAAGAAAACAAACTGGAGCAAATGCTGCTGGTTTGTTACCCTCAACATTGCGTGAATTAAATGGTCAGGTAGAATGTTGATGGTAATTGCGGCAAGTAGTGCACAAGACATGAATATAGTTTGATTAAACACAACACCTTGAACGAGTAAGCACACTGATCTACGAACGGATGGATAGCATAGTGGGTAAACAAGAGTGATAGGAAACGAACGAAGTCCGTGGAGCAATCTCTCTCAAGAACTGTACTCATCGACGGTAGCCCGCCCTATCTGACTGCCAGCCGACTGTCAACAAGTACTCAGCGTGCGCGCGCCTGGACATCTCGCTCTCTGTCCGAGTTGCGGCGAGCGCAGACCACCAGACACCATCCGTCGTTCAGAACGGAAGCAGGAAGAACTACGACAGAAGCAAAAGGGAAATCATAGCCCAACAGACATTCCAGCCAGGAGGATGGTTGTAGCAGAAACAAATATGCCGGAAATGAACCCCAGTTCATTCGATACAAATGTATGCAGTGATTT